TATAAATAAGCCACATTTGTAAAATCGATGTCCACACGTAACAAAAGATCTGGGACAATACTAAATCCCAGCAGTAGGCGTACAACCAGAACTTTCTACAGGAGTTCACAACTTGTAAATGATAAGAGCGATGAAAAGAAAAGCATCAAGCAAACGGTGTTTGGCCACCTTGCCAAGTAGACCCACCAGAGGCACCCATGAAGACCCCAGGGAGAGCCTTTAGTGTTTTATAGTCCGAAGCATCTAATAGCTTGTAGCGGCTTACGGTCAGTAGCGTCCTATAGTTCCTAGAGTTTTATAATCAAAAGCAACCTATAATCCTTAACGTCTTATAGTCTCTAGCAGCTTATAACTCGTAGCGAAAACCAGTTCAAAATGTTTAGTGCAGGACAGCCTAGCATATGAGACCACAACAAATAGAATAAGAGAGTGGCAAGCTTCACTTGGAAGGTCACGCATTATGAGGAAACTGGATTTTTTTCTCCAGGCTGCCGGCGTAGTGGGAAATGAACAGACAGACAGACTGACTGGATCTGCAGATCTGGGTGGTGAACTGATACATTTTATCAAGGCCCTCTGGGAACAAGTAACGAAGTTAGAAGAGATAAAAGATTTTTATTGCCTGAGGAGAATGATGCACATGGGCGTGACCAGAGGGTCTGGCCAGCTCACTATGCTCAGAGGAAAGACAAGACGGACATATAAGCATTAGTATTCGAACTCTGCGTTGGCTGCTGAGGATTAGGACGGAACGCATATGGGAATGCCCTGTGTGCTTTGATACCAACTCTTGACTGGACTCCTAACATTTTATAGCTTTTGACATCTTAGAACCCATAGCCTCTGAGAGTCAGTTATATTGGGGTAAATAAAAGAAAACCTTGTTATTTACTTTAATACCTTCCCCCAAAGACAGGGTGTTTCCTTACCAACGACAGAACCAAGGACACCAACAGTACCACACAGTTGTGCTACTGCTCCACCAGTGAGAGTATAAGGAAACTGGCTGGGTAAAACAAAGCGCCAGGTACAGTGACATAACTGCCGTCACAGACACGCAATTAGCAATGTCCTTTGCACCCAGCGCAGTCTCGCTGAAATTAATGGTGCAATGTTTCCTCTTTCCAACCAGGTGCGGAGATAGCTGCAGTGGAATTGTAACTTAGTTAACATAACCATGCAAGGAACGCCTGCTTAACTGCTATTGTTGCTAAAGTTACCTAACTTAATGAGGCAAGAAACTTGTGGAGGTACCGTGAACAATTTCTAGGTAAGATATTATTTAGCAGTTAAGCACTTTATTTATACCTATGTTTGAGGCTAGCTTGCAAGCCCGAATGACTAAGGTTCAAACCCGCATAGATGCGGATTTTTGTAAAATGACTTTATCTCGCAGGTCCACTGAGCCGTAAAACATGGGAACCAGGTAATGTCCTGGGAAGTAGAGGCAGTCGGTATAATGATCCGTGGAAGTGAATTGGTCTATTGAAAATATAAATCTAGCAGTAAATTTCTAAATACACCAACAGGTGTAAAAAGAGTCCTTGACTTTCTCTTTGTGTTAATGAGCTCCTAGGCCCACTCAGCCTTACAAAAAAAAAAAAAAGGGTACTAGGTAATGTCATGGGAAGCAGAAACGGCCGGCATGATGACCTACCGAGTGCATTGATGTAAACAACGTTAGGTGTAGCACTAAATTTCTAATTTGCAGTGGTTCGACACGTTTTGACTTTACTTATTTATTTAGTTCATATCTATGGTGAAGACGACACATTAAGTGAATTACATAAACATGCTTGTTAGAAGATGTATTACATCCGATGACTTTACTTCTCACAACATTTCTTTGCGCATATTTTAGGCTTGACTGACATGGAAATCTATAGCAATTAAAAAAAATCCTACTCGAAAGGATTGAACCTACGTTGAGCATGCCGTCAAGCAAGCGTGCTGCACACAGCCACTCGTTACTCCAGTAAAGTCAAGGACTCTTTTCCACGCGTTCAGGCGTATTGGACATATAAGGGTAGACCTATACTCTGTATTATTAAAAATGTAAATTTCCGTTGGTTGTTAAGAGATAATCTCCGAAAGTTCTTCACTGATTGCTTTCACATTTTCACACAACGTTGTATTCGACTGGGCGCGTGTTTTTATCTAACTACACAGCAACAGCAACGATCACATTGGTTTATGTTGTGTTGCCGACCAAGAATTGTTTTTAGTTCCGCTGGTGGGCGACCTTTGGCTGTTGACCTCAGACCTCTGCATGAATCTATACCGAAGGTCTTCACCGATTACTTTAAACTTTTCACACAACGTCGCATTCGAATATGCGCGTGTTTTTATGTAAGAGTGTTGCGCAAGTAATGAACTACATAGCTTCAGCGACGATCACATCCGCATCTTGGTTTTGTTTTCCGACGATCCGATTTATTTTTCTTCTTTGCCGAATTCAGGACACAGTGTGTTATTTATGCATTTTGTAGAGATAAAAACTATCTTTATAAGTCCTAAGAATACAATTTAAACCAACACTACTATAAAGACACTTATATGCTGCGTGTTCTAGAGTCGGCAGATCAGACTATCTTTATATCTGCGCAGACAACGATTGTGATATTAACTACATTAGACACGTGCGCGTACTATTTTTCTGTTCTTTTCCATTTCGCCAGACTGAGCCACAGCAAAGCGTGGCGGGTACTGCTACAATTTTATAAACCAATCGTCATTTGGTGGGTGATGTAGTCAGTATCTCACCGGCCGCCTTTACTTCCCAGGACGGCACTTTGTACCCACTCAAGACTGGGTCGATCTGCGAGCCAAAGTCAGTTTTGAAAAAAAAAGGGAAAAAAAGGCTAGTTCCGTCAGGACCCGAACCCATGACCTTCCGACCCGCAAGCCAGTGTCTATACGCTATAACACGGAGACTTCCATCGTTACTTCCTTAATAACAGTGCCATTTGATTTGACAAGATCAATGCTGAAGGAAATACAACTGACATAGAACAAAACTTTCTGGGTCGACATAACAGTCAACAGAAAGCCATACTGAATGGGAAAATTAAAAACAAAAGAAATAGAGGATTTACAGTATAAGATATCGTTAAGATTCTTCCTAGCTTAATGCACATCCAAGTTATGAGCCATAAGGTTTTGAGTTACAAGTTCCCTAATTATAACTTCTTTGGAGATCTACATTGTTAGTTTGCGGTTCAGATTGGGATTTTTAAATCTCAGAATGGTAGGGTGGATCTTTAAGTAGCAGTACGGAATGGACACCTCCATAGGGCTCAGTTTTCACCTACATCCCCATCCTGCGGGTAGTGGGTCAGTCGCATGCTGGTTAACAAGACTTCTTGTACGTCCGGTGTGCCTCTCATGCTTGGCTGTGACGATATTTACTCCTATTTCTCGCATTCTAAGCAACGATGTAGGCATGGTGCTCCTAAAATCCTTGTATTTTACAGATACATCTGTGAAGATTACACACACACACACACACTTCTTCTTCGCGTGCACCACTGTACACTTGAGGTTAAGCTACTGGATTGATCGATACCACTTTACAGGACTGCAGCCTGCTCCGAACCTGATTTAGCTCTGGGATATAATTTGGAGAAAGCTTTGCGGAAAGCACATCGACCTTCAGCTATAGATTATTATCCGAATAAAGCTTTACAGAATGTAGATGGATGCACTCTATACTTCATAGAATGTCCCCCATTAGTCGACTCTTTGAAAACGACCCCCTTTTTTAAAAACGGCAGTGGGTCAAAAATTCTTATCTTTCCCCACTAAATTGCCCCGGAACCCACTCTAGACAAATTAATCTTTCCAGACTGCATATTTGAGGTTAAGCTACGGAATATTACGGATACGACTTTATATGACAGCCGTACAGAACCATGTCTCATCTATTACTGGAGTCTGCTTTACGAAAAGATCACACAGGACCTTCACTAAGCTTGGATCCGAATAAAGCTTTACAGAATGTAGATTGCATGCTCATCTATAGGTTTAGCTGTTTCCACCTTTTCTTTTAAACACAAAACCCCATCTGATAACGGAGCCTTTTCCTACTCTTATCACATCTAAATTTAGTCAAGAAACATCTAGAAAAAAATATCCAAATGGTCAAAGAGTCACAAATTACATAGCAATTTGATAACTTAACCACTCCAACCATGTCCTCATCTTTACTGAAGTCTGCCATCCCTAAGATCCACAGGATAAACTTAAAGCTGGATGGTAAAAAAGTTAAAGCTTCAACACTCCAAAATGACTCTGGCCTGCTGAAAGCTGTTCAGAATTTGCACACAGAAACCACTCAAAGATCTGATAAGTGGAAAAGCTTTTTCCTACCCTTATCAGGTCGAATTTTATTATCGATGGAAGCGCACTAGATGCAAATTTCATCCTGTTCTTTAGGTTAGATTTGATAAATTTACTCCAAATGAAAAACATCTAGATTTCACTCGGACTTGGACGTCTAGTAATTACCCCCTGGTCTCTGGGTAGTGAGATCAGACGCCCGTGTGCATTGTTGGAAATCGAAAAGAGTAGCCTAACAGCGCTGCCCGGGTAAAATTGTGAGTGTAAAATCTACTTAAAGTTATTTTAGGATCCTCGCCGGTACTAAAAGGCTTGTTCCAAGTGCTGAGCTTCTTGGACTTAAACTTGAGTTAGATGAAGAAGGGAGCACTTATGGTGTGCCACGATGTTCCTTGAAGTACAGTCTTCGCAATCGAATGTCATAATGGAGCTCAAAGATGACAATGACAATATATTTTATTTGTACAGCAGAAAAGTTTGTATATAGTTTGTGTCTTAACCACGTGTCTTCAGCTGTCACTTACGACGTTTTAAAGCGTTATGTAATACTGAGCTTTCTTAATTTGCTTTCATTAAGAATTGTGTATGTGTGTATGCATGTATATATATGTCAATAGCTTTATCTTCATTCGCAGTGTCCAGTGCAATATCAAAGGAACACAATGACGATAATCCATGTTATAGCTGCCATAGCGATGATTATACCTACCAGCAGGGCGCAACATCATGGCGGTCATTGCTTGCCTCCATATTCTGCAATAAGTATGTTTTAAACTTTTCATTACTTAATCCTGGGTTTAAATTAACATACACTATGGCGAGGGTGCTGCAGTAGAGCAATGTCTAACATTTATGCTAGTGTTGCTCTAAGGACTAAGATGTGACTCCCCATTACAGCTAGTTAGTTAGTGGACAGATTATCTTTGCATATCGGACGAATCAATCCTGCTCGATTACCCCCTGTAGTAAATCCCACTGCTTGTAGCGACTGATAATACCAGTTCTGTGTTAGATTTTTCTTTGTCTTTGGCTTGCTTCTGTCTAGCTTAAGTCCCTTTCATTTGATGTCCTTACAGTATGGTCATGGTAGCATATTCAGAGTCACTATTTGATTCTTGACGTCACAGCTGAATGTGCCCAAGTAGATCTATCCTGCAGTCGGTACTAGGAAATTTGCTTGGCGACAGGTCAGATTTCTACCACAAGTGATGATGCAGATAGTAAATGCGAAACTTGCAGATGTGTCATCTAAACTCTATCAGCCTTTCGAAAGGTTTATTGAACATAAGGAAAGCATTTACTTGTAAACCGCCTAACATTATTTGTGCCATCACTAGCAGATAGTATCCGTGAAAATGTTAACGATATCCACAAAGAAGCTGTGAAACTAACAGATAGTATCTGTGAAAATGTTAACGATATCCACAAAAAAGCTGTGAAACACTATTTGATTGGTTCTGACCATCAAGGAAAACCGACCATCAAGGCTAAAGCGATATCTCAGTTACTGCTATAAAATCATGCTCCGGTGATCAAACTAGCAGTTATTCCTTAACATAACAGCTTCTTTCACAGTTCAAGTTACAAAATGAACGTTTCATGCGCAATATTCTGGCAGGGATCAATATTCAACATCAGTATATTACATTTTGAAATTTAATTTAATCAACTTATTGATATTTCTGCCTTTTGTTTTTTTTAAAACCTTTTTGCCCATTTCGTTTCGTAAAAATATCCTAATGTAAACATTTATCCCTAGAATATATAGAGTTTTCATTGTGAGCTTAGCTGTTTATAAGCCCTATTGTCTTCTCTGTGAGTTTTCCAGTCACATCTTGTGGTGTATTCAGCACACTGTTAATGAAAACTTTGGTCGAAACATTCTTTTTGTGTTTTGACAAGTCCTTTCCATTACTTGGTTAGTATTTCTAGTTACATGTTAAGTTGTATTTCAGTCTCTAAGGAAACACAACACAAATGTATCATTAGACGAACGAACTACTAATTTTTGCAGACTAATAAGCAATTTTTGCGAATGCTATGAAGAATACTCCACTCGCTACTCAAGATAAACTTGATGAGAAAAGATCAGTGAAAAACCAAGAGATGGATGGTTTGATTATACGACACAAGCGAGGCTGAACATTCAAAAGACATGGGTATTTCACTAGTAAGATTCAGTAGCTGGATTTTCAGGCATCATATGAACTAAATAGCTGTAATCTAAAAGGTCAACCTCATTGCACCGGGTTTTATCCCACACAAATCAGTGTCTCTCCACCCAATAGCTAGTCTCAAGCATAGAGCATCTCGAAAAGCACCACTTCCCAAGTATCATCGCAAACATTTCAATCATCGTGGACCGAACTTAATTTGCCAGCCAGACTATTGGCTTTTAAATAGCTGAATGCACTGCTTGATCATTTCGCTACAGAGACCCTAGAATATATTATTTAGCAGAATATCATAGGATCACGAGCCACCACATTCAATCTAGTCGTCCTCTTGTGGGATGCAATTGTTTGTTATTTGAAGCCTCACCCAGGCTTCTGCCGGGGGCCCTGAATATAGCTGGGGCATACCTATGGCCTAGCCATAGATATGGCTGAACGCGGTTTCCGGGACCTCTCCACGGGTGATCCTCATCCGCATAGTGGCACTTTGTGTCACCGGGTGTTTATGGCTTGCATGATGTCCTAGTAGGGTGCAACCACTTACCTACTTACCACTCAATATATCGATCAGTTTATCTGCTCCGGACTCCTACGGAAAGGTTTATCCTACCATCCTGCCAATAAAGAATCTCAGTCTAGACGGCAAACCAACAAGGCAAACCCCCACAACCCATTTAACCTTCAAAGCAGTTACATTCATTGCACCCTCACGGTTGCACGAACCAGTGTAACGTGAAGTCCTATACGGGCAGGGACGACCATGAGACACCCCATTTCTATACGGCATACACGACAACCATTTGTGTTTATAAATATTTGCGGCTGGTAGGTAGGTAAGTTGTACACCACCAGGACATCACATAAGCGATAAACAACCGGTGACACAAAGTGCCACCATGCGAATGAGGATCACACATGGAGAGGTCCCGGAAACCCCGTTCAGCTGTTAGGCCACATTTAAGGCATGGCTATATTTACGACCCACGGCGAAAGCCAGGGCGGACTTTTAATATATAAAAGCAACAGTAGCCTTGTAAATTTGATTGTTTTCTTGTCTAACAGGTATGTGTGACAGACCATGGCAACTGATTTATGAAAACGAAGCCAATGGAACGCCTGTGTTTGGCAGTAAAGAAGATCTAAAGCAAGCAGTACTTCGTGGAGCAGAACTTCGTGTCATGCTGAAGGACACCAGTGTGGAGCCCTCCTCAATGGTTACCCACACATTCTGTTCCGGTGTAGACAACGTTAACATCAGGGGAGACAACATATGTTGTGAGGTATAGCTTCCCTTTCTTTCATTTCGATTGAGATAAATAATCATTTGCCTCCAGTTGAACCTCCTTTCTTAGCATTGTCTATGTGACCCTCATTTGGTCCCAAATTGGCAAATGTGTGAGTGACTTTTTCCCACTGTATCAAAATAATCTTATAATATGTCCTAAAACTGCATTTTCGGTCAGATAATACTAAAGGAGAGAGACCATCTACATTCTTTTATGATATGATGAGAAGGAGAAAACTGGAGTACATCGTGACAGAATGAAAGCTGGAGGGGAGGAGAGGCAGAGGGAGACCGAGAGAACAAATGCTGGACAGTCTGACATCATGACATATGTCCCAGAGTTGATTTAAAGTATACGAGACAGAAATTTGTGGATAGACATGACTACCAACCCCCACACGGCATAGACTTTAAGAACAAGAAGATGATACAAGAGGAAATCATAGAAAAGCACATTTGACTAGCATATCTATATCCTAACAAGAATGCATGTTGCACGGGTGCAGCCGTTATGCGAGCCACAATTGTAAGTACTTTGAAGGCTGATCGGAATATCTGAGATTTACCTTGATGGTTTGCCATCCAGACTGATATTTTGCAATCTCATTGTTCATGACGTAAGTGGACATATAACTACCAAGGCAAATCTCATAAGAACTACTTTGTGTGTGGCATATATGATCCTGTCAGTGGAAATCACAGACCCTTGCAACACAAGTGCTGAGATGTCATACAAGAATTGCCAAAGTAACCAGAAAAGACCAAATTAAAAGTGAAGACAAAAAAGAAGAATCGGACAGAAACAAATAATGTAATTCAATAGAAGCAACATGTGATGTGAGAAGTTTTTGGCCATCTAACAAGAATAGCTTGATACCAACTGCCGCAGAGAGCCACGTTGAGAAATACAAAGAATGAACGAACAACCTTTATTTTCAAAGAGTTCATAAACTAGGTAAGGGGACACATAGCAAGAGGAAGATCAGATAAGAGATGGAACTATGATATCAAGAATAACCTTAAAGAAGTGATGATCAGCTTATACAATTCATTATAAAGAGAACAGAGATGATCTCTGCATTTACCTCATCTACTTCTTCTCCACTTTGGCAATTGGTAGAAGGAAAGGAAAAGAAGAAGAAACAGTTTTGACCTCATTTCTAACAGGTGATATAGAGTGAGCAATGACAACACTCACAAACCAGGCCCACTGACTTACACTAACCTGGTATAATTTGTCTATTACCAACAGATTCTCTCGCATATTGCAACAGCAGGGTACGAAAGTGTTGTAGACGCACACTGGAGGTTCTTTCTGCCCTGCACTACAGGAAGTGTACATGTGGCACAGTACTATGTGGAGAGTGCTGAGTTCCTCTCCCAAGACACTCTACGTGCCCGCATCGCTTGGTATGCCAAAGAGATTCAGGTATGCTGGTATGAAAACTATTTAGACAAGCCTAATTATTGTTATATTCTTCATCTTAGGTTCAAAATGTTGAAGTGCGGACGATCGTCTTCACTGCATTGAGTTTTATTCCACATGGTACACTCAGCTTGTCGTCCCTATGTGGGATGTATTTTTGTGTGTGGTTATTTTGAAGCCACATCCTGACTTTTGCCAGGGGTCCTAAATATAGCCGGGCGTTAAATATGGCCTCACGGCTGAACGGGGTTTCTGGGACCTCTCCACGGGTGATCCTCGTCCGCATGGTGGCACATTGTGTCACCAGGTGTTTATCGCTAGTGGGGTACAACTTACCTACCTACCTACCTACCTACCTACCTATCCCACATGGCTCATAATCTCTCCGCAGAACGGGTAGCCTCTTTCCGAGAGAGTCACACACAGTATGAACACCGTAGTTCAGGCGACGATTCCCAGACATTTCAGTAAAAACTGAGCCCATGAACCGAAAGACGCATTCATGATACAAACTCATGACCTTCATAGCGCTAGGGAAACGGCATGACCTCTTCGCCAGGGAGATCCACTTCTTAGAGTAAATGTCTTCTTTCTAAAGTTTATGTCGTAGCGTTGGTCCTTGTACTGTTGTCACTTTTGAGATAGATGTTTTTCTATGCCTTGATATCAGACTACCTAGCAGACTCTATCTTGGTCTTTTCCTGTCTCTCTCCCCTTCCAAACTACACATTATAGCGATATATTTAAGATTTCCCTGTGTCAGGACGTGACCAAAGAATGTGGGTTATCTCGCACCCCGTTTTAGCTGAGATTTTGTTGTTGTTGAAAATGATATTCTAAAAAAGATTGTGTTGTGCTCCCTATTTGGGACGTTGCAGAATCAACACCTGGCAATTTTACGTTCAGTAGCTTGCCGATTCTTTCTAAACGATATTAAGGAGCCCCACCCCCACTCCACCCTTTTTCCCTCACGCATGTACACAACCGCCAAATGGGAAACATTGAGAATATGGGAAATAGCCTAAACTGGTTAAGGAAACATTACCATTCTCGGCGTTATTCCAGCCAGTAATTATGTGCTGTGCTGAACCAAGAGCTGGTTAAATCCTATTACACATCTGCAGATGGTAAGTTTCTGTTCCAGTCTTGTACCACCCGCTGGTTTCAGAACAAGGAGAGGAGATGCAGTCTGCAGCAGTTTTCGCGGAGATAGTACTGGGGTATCGGTTTAGGAATACAGTCTATGCATCAACATCCAGCGGGTAGACAGAAGCTTTTGTAGTGGCTCAGACGACTCGAGTGCGAATGCGAATACCGTAACATTTAGCAAACATTCAGTATGTATATATATTTGCATAAACGGACAGACAGACAGACAGACAGACAGACAGACAGACAGACAGACAGACAGACAGACAGACAGACAGACAGACAGACAGACAGACAGACAGACAGACAGACAGACAGACAGACAGACAGACAGACAGACAGACAGACAGACAGACAGACAGACAGACAGACAGACAGACAGACAGACCGACCGACCGACCGACACACGGACAGACACCAGACAGACAGACAGACAGACAGAAAGACAGACACATTTGTAGACAAAGAGACAGAAAGACAGACAGACGTGTAGACAGAGAGACAGAACGACAGACAGAAAGACCGACAGACAAAAAGAGAGACAGACAAACAAAAAGACAGACAAAAAGACAGAAAGACAGACAGACAGACAGACAGACAGACAGACAGACAGACAGACAGACAGACAGACAGACAGACAGACAGACAGACAGACAGACAGACAGACAGACAGACAGACAGACAGGCGAACGGACATGGATTAAGGAGTGGGTAAGTGGTTCGAAAGACGTGGGACGGAGTGAAGCGAGGCAGCAATGACCAAACATACAGGTTTCTAACTTCGTCGATGTCTTCCCCCAGCATGATCTGTACAATAGCCGACCACTTTTCGCCCACTTCCTGGATGGTGGCTCTACAGTTGGTAAGAAAGAGGACCTTATCGACGCTGCCAGAGAAGGCAAAGAGATCAGAGCTTTGATGACAGACAGAGGCTATGCATTCCCCTTCCAGGTGAGAGACACTAACTTCTAGAAGTAAGGTATGCCTGTATCAATGGCAGGGTTTACATTTATTAAGACATAAAGGCTCCTTTGATGTAGAGTAACTTGAAAAGAAACACACACACACACACACACACACACACACACACACATACACAAAGTTATTTCATAAGGACATGTAGGCACATTTTATAACTTTTAGATCCTTGTGTGTGTTCCGGGGCCCTATTATAGGGAAAACAAGAATAGACCTACTGCCTACCCAAAAAGCACGTCGTAAGAGTCAATTAATTGGGAGCTTCCTTAGAAGTCGGAGTGCATCTGCCTGAGAGGCAAGGAACCAGCAGTCTGCATACAAATGAGTCAGGTCTGTAAAACGAATGCACACGCAAAACTCAGGTTTTGGAACAGGACTGCAGTCCAGAAGTGGACGAACAATCAGAACTTTTCGCCAGAGTTTACAGCTGGTGTACGCGAAGGAAGAAGAAGAAGAAGAAGAAGTAGATAACTTTTAGACACATCCTTTTGCCCCCCCCCCCCTCTACCCCTTACCTTTTCCCCCCAGTGACTAAACCAATATAAGATAATCAGATCACCTGGGCGTGAATTGTAGTGAATCAACTGTTGGACTTGTAAAGAACCCTTTCCCACGCTTTCAGGCGCAATGGGCGAGTATTGCTCTGTCTATATTTCATAGACCAATCGGCACTCGGTGGCTAATGTGGGTAGCATCACATTGGCCGCATTTACTTCCAAGGACTTCATCGATGCCCCTTAAGGTTGGGTTCACTGCGAACCAGCTAATTTGTGGGCAAAAAAAAGTACGGCTCCGTTCAGATTCGAAACGACGAATTTAAGATCTGCTGGTGACGCTATAGCCGCTGCACCAGATCGGCTGCCAAACTATCGTCTAGAAGTAAACTTAAAATAGTCGTGAGACTTGGCGTAACGGCGGTGGAGGGTGCTGCGTGGTCTCGGGGTATGGTGTCCGCCTCGTGTGCTAGAGATCAGAACATTTCAATCATTATTTTGCCTCAGTTAACAGAGCAGGTAAGCTGTCAGAACTCAATAGAACACAGCTCTCTCAGTTGAAGAAACAAGAGAGAGCTCCAACAGCCAGCGACTCCCTTTTTGAAAATGAATTTAGCATGGATGAATTAGAGCAAGCCCTGAAGAAATTAAAACCTAGAAAATCTCCAGGCCCAGATAAGATCCACAAGGAAATGCTGCTACATCTTGGCCGGTCTGGGAGAGAAGTAGTTCTCAGGCTTATTAATAAAACTTGGAGGTCAAGCAAAACTTCCAAAGGGCATGGAGGAATGCATATATCGTCCCCATCCTTAAAACCAAAAAGCCTCCAGATGACCCCAAAAGCTACCGCCCGATATCCTTAACATCATGCTTGGGCAAAGTTGCAGAAAGAATGATAAACAGGCGCTTATATTGGTTCCTTGAGAGTTCTGGTGTTCTATGCCATGAACAGGCAGGCTTCAGAACCAACAGCTGCACAGAAGACCAGCTGTTCAGACTGACACAAAGAATACATGATGGCTTCCAGAATAAGAAACACACAGTGGCAGTCTTTGTTGATCTCCAGCAGGCCTATGACAGAGTATGGAGAAAAGGTCTCCTGATGAAGATGATGAGCATAGGAATACATGGCAGATTGTATAACTGGGTGAAATACTTCCTGATAGATAGAACAATCCAGACTAAGATGCACAACGCAATCTCTTATAAAGAAGTCTTGGAGGAGGGCTTGCCACAAGGCTCATCATTGAGCTGTACACTATTCCTAATCTTTATCAATGACCTGCCAGAACAAATCAAGGCCGAAAAAGCCTTGTACGCTGATGACCTAGCAATATGGCAGAGTCATGAAAATGTGGAAAGTGGAGCCCAAAGACTGAATGGAGACCTTAGAAGACTGCATGATTACTGCCAAAGATGGAAACTCAAGATTAACTGTGCAAAGACGGTCTACACAATCTTTACCAAAAGCCACCAAGTAGCAAGGAAGAATATTAACCTGAGGTTAGACAAACACCAAGTGATGAAAGAAGAGCATCCCACATACCTTGGAGTCACACTTGACCCGCAGCTCAGCCTCAAGAACCATATTGAAAACATCAGGAATAAGGCATTGAGGCGGTTACAGTTATTAAAGAGACTTGCAGGTACATCATGGGGATCAGACAAGGAAACTCTGAGGGGCTTATACCTAGGATATGTTCGCTCTGTGATAGAGTACAACAACTCACTGCTTACAACTTGTTCCAAAACTAACCTAGAGACTCTTGACAGAGTACAAAATAATGCCCTCCGATTAATCTGCGGAGCTATGCAGTCTACACCAACTGCTGCATGTGAAATCCATACAAATGTGGAACCCCTCGGGTTGCGGAGAGAAAAAGCTACTTTAGAAATTTATGAAAGATGCGTTAGGAAAAATCGTAACCATCCTAATAGACATCTTGTAGAAAACTGGGAATCCAAACAAAGAATAAAGCACAAATCGGTTTTACACTGTGTTAATGAAATTCAGGACAGATACCACCTCCCAGAAAGACGTCAAGGAATTCAGAATGTTGCAAAAAACCTACCACCACATGCTCGCTTTAAAGCTCCAGAAGTCCAAACTAAATTGGTAGGCGAGGAAACCAAACAGTCCGACCCAATCGCTCTTATGAACTCATCACTAAAGACCGTTGATTCTTACCCCCAAGAATGGATACATGTCTATACTGATGGATCAGCATTTAGAGCTACCATTAAAGCAGGTTACGCAATCTACATAGGTTATCCCGATGGATCTGTTGAAGAGATTTTTGATGCATGCGGGGAATTATGTTCAAACTATGAAGCTGAAATAATTGCACTGGAAACAGCAGTATACCACCTAAAGACTGTAATGGATGTTTACCCCTCAAAGGTCCAAAATATTGTCATCTTCACAGACTCAATGTCTGCCCTTCAAGCTCTGGAGGGCAATGAACGCTGCAGAACTGACATAGCCAAGATAATCCTGGATGCCGATCAGCTTATTACCTCATACAACATCAGAATAGTGGGATTCCAGGTCACTCCGGCACACCAGGTAATGACAGAGCTGACAGATTGGCAAAGAAAGGAGCAACACAAGAACAACCACCTACAGCGACAACCCTCCAGACAGCAAAAACACTGATAAGAGCTATAAACAAAGAGACTTGGTTGAACAGATGGGCCATGGGAGACACTGAAAGAGAGGTTTATAGACATATGTCTGGCCCTGATCCTAATGACAGCATTAACCATCTAACAAGAAGGGACCAGGCTACCATCTTCAGACTTAGAACGCAACATACTCCACTCAATGGACACCTAAACAGAATACAGCCACAACACTCCCCAGAGTGCCAGCTATGTAACTACCCCTACGAAACTGTTGAACACCATCTCTTTGAGTGCCCAAAACTCAGTGAGACAAGAAGAACGCTACTCCCTCCGAGACCAGACAAGTGGAACACCTTGTACGGAGGAAAAGAACAGCTTGTGAAAACATGCAAATTCCACTACATGGCATTGGGCCAAAGGGCGAAAGCTCATGCGCCGCTGGATCGATAACAACAACAACAACAACTGTGCTAGAGATCCAGTGTTCAGGCCACGGTGAGTACTAGGATTCTTTCACGTGGACTTCTAGTAATTTCCACTAGTTTCTTGGTAGTGAGATCAGACGCCCGTGTGTGTTGTTGCGCCCGTAAAAAAAATCCCTTGACAGTTGAAAATCGAAAAAAGCAACCTAATTGCGCTGCTCGGGCAAAATTTGGAGTTAAATATCTACCCAAAAATATTTCAGGATCCTCGCTGGTGCTACGGAGCCCGGACTCTGACTTGAATAAGAAGAAGAACGGATCACTTGTGGGTTACTACCCGTGTGCCGTGATGTTGATTCGTTATTCAAACTTCAAACTTAAAATATTTTAGTCGTTTCGGGAAGACAGTGCTTCGTGTTTGCCATGCATTTCCTGCCTCATCTCAGGTTTTAAAAACTATCTGTGAATTATGATCGTGGATTTAGTGTAAACGGAAAATAAAATGTTCTGATTACAGCCCAACCATTGTTTTGAAATTAACGGTAAATTTTTGTTAACCTTTTTTCTTTCAATTGTTCAACAGATTGTTATGTGGTCGGAAACTGATGACCGGATAATGGGACAAAGCAACAAGCATCTGTCCCAGAAATATCAGGGAAGCGATATCGTTTTCAACACGCAGACGCCCTACATGTGGTTCTCTTCTTGGTCAACGACAGGCCGCAGAGACAGCTCTAGATGGGCAGTTGGAGGCGTCACCAACAGAGGTCGCGGTTCTGACTACGTTTCACTGAAATGGTTCGCGGATCCTTGCTGGCGTCACGTGTTTACCCACGACAGCAGTGGCAACCAGCTTCGGGGTTCCAGAGAGTCTTTAGTTGCTGCGATTAAAGACGGCCACCGTGTACGAGTTGTGGTAGAGAATAAAGCGATGGAGGCCGCTTTTCTTAGACTGAAAAATAATCATGTTAGTGCATACTTCCTGGACGAGCTGTCCAGCAAAGGAGGCCAAGGGTTTGATCAGTTTGACTTCACCACCGACACTTACTACAAGTTCAGCACGACGCACACAACAGGGACATACAGGCAGTACGGGCATTTCGTTCGCAACACTTCCACCACCGTTACGCCCAGTCTCACGAAACAGAAGATCTCGTGGATGATCGACGTCAAACCATGGGAAACCATCCTCAAGGTCAACGATAAAGGTGTGGCTGTATGGGGTCAGAAGCAGAACGTCAAGAGTGCAGTTCTGAAAGCAGCTGCTGTCCGAATGGGTATTCAGTTCGATTCTTCTAGTGGTACCCTTTACGTTGGAGCTGACAATACTAAAGTATCGACCGCACCCACAGACGAAGAAACTGTGGCACAAAGCGTCAGAGTCGTCGGTGACAGACCAGTGGGCAGTTTTCGAATTTGAACTGTCTCCAGTTCCATTCTGGGTGTTTTTAATTGTTCCTACCACTGGAAACGTGCATCTATCTGGGTGGCAAATGGGGAAACATCACCGCTTCTTCCACCGAACGGTTCCTGCTACCGTAGTTTGGTTTGCCAACTTATAGGACATCTGGGACTAATTTAGAAACATCATGCGTTAATAAACAGCTAAATCTCCCTTTCCTGCGCACTAGGATTGTTTTGTCATGATTGCTACGGAATTGGGGACTATTCTGTCATGACCTGTAGAGACAACGCCTTCCCAGCTTGTGAAATTCCGCGTCAAAAACATATAAAGGATTACGCGACTGTCTACAGGAATTAATTTTATTGCGGAAGTAAAGACGTCTGAAGTCGTCAGAGGTAGAAAGTCAGTCTGCTAAAATAACTTTTGGTTAAATGTGCCTTTCCACGAGAAAATTACATATTCAAATAATGTATAATGTATCTTAAAGTACTTTATATGTTAAACAACTACTTTGTATATGTGGCTATTTTTTGCTCCTATTTGTACCAATTTAAATATTGCGTATCATAGAAAGAACATACTTGGAATTGCATCCATATCATTATCGTATATTTGGAAACTTTTGAACCATGCAATTTGGATTCTTTTCTCAACAGAGATTTACATCGCATAATGTGCGGCTGTGAAGAAGGATGGATTTATAACAACTTGTAGGGTGTGGCTCAAATATGTATGAAGGTTTCATAAAAGAACGAAAAGTACACCACAGTTTTTTCCTACTACTGATGCCTGCATACTGTCTGTGTCATCATCTAAAAAATGGGAGCCGCCGTGGTGTAGCGGCTAGACGCTCGTCTGTGGATCAGAAGGTCCTGGGTTCAGGTCCTACTGAAGCCAGACTCCCCCCCCCCCCCCCCCAAAAAAAAAAAAAAAAAAAAAAAAATTTGACTTGACTCTCAAGACCACCCAGCCTTAAATAGGTACCAGGTACAGTCATCGGAAGTGAACGCGGCCGGCGTGATGTTGATCACATCACTCATCAAGTGTCCATTGGCCTATAAAATATAGGTATAGCTTTATATGCCCAATATGCTTGAAGGCGTGGAAAAGGGTCCTTCACTTTCCTGTATCCTCTGTGAGTGAGGGACGTTCAACCCCCCAACAGGACCGTTCAACGAGCGATCAACCTCAGGTGACACAAATTGCCCCCATTCGATGATAATCCCCCCAGGCGCACGTTATAGAAACCCTGTTCAACTGTTAGGTTATATTAGGGTCCATGCCGACAGTTAGGGTGGTAGCTTTAAAATAACAAAAATACTCGGACGGAGTTGATGAATAATTACCATTTGTAAAATGCTTGGAGGTTTATACCCATAAAGGGTACGATTAAATCAAAAGATAGACGGTTTAGCAAAAGAAACCAGACCGTGAAAATATGAAAAACCATGGCATTAAAATGTAGCATGTCACTAACTGTGTTAAAGTAACTTTATAAGGCAAACTATAAGTCAATAACTTAATCTTAATGTCTGCAGATCTTTAGATGGTTATTGTGGGCGTTCTTGCCTAAATCGACACAGTCAATTATACTATATCAGAGATTGTCCCTTCTACATGTTAACATTATACAAGTGACATATGAAACCAGGCGCAAAACAGTGCGATAGACGGAAATAAAGAATTCTACAAGCCTAACATTGTAAAGTGAATACGTGAAACGAAACCACCAGAACAATTGGGATGGATTGTCATTTCCACAAATTAACATTATTCAAGAGACATTTGAAACTGGAACAGCAGAACAGTGTGACGACGGAGATAATCTGTTAAAGAAGGTAATATTATATATATATTTTTAATAGTCATGGAACTACAGCAGAAGAACAGTGTGTCTAAAGAAAAGTCATTTCTACAGGTTAGCCTTATAGAAGACGTAAATTATACTAGGCCGTCAGAACAATGTGACAGTCAAATATTATCCGTTTGAGGTTTTTAACAACGGATTAGCATCATGCACTGATATGTGTAACACATAAGTGCTCCGTTCTTTCTCTAACTCAAGTCGGAGTCCGAAGAGGCTCAATACAATGCACAGGCGCCGTAGCACCGGTGAGGATCCTGAAATACTTTTGGTAGATTTTTAACAACAAATTTTTGCATGGGCGGCGCCGTTAGGCTACTATTTCCGCAAAATGCACACGGGCGTCCGATCTCACTACTCAGAGACCAGGGGGAATTACTAGAAGTCCAATTCCACGTGAAAAAGTCCCAGCCCTTACCGGGGAATGAACCTGGAACCTCTTGCACTCAAGGCGGACACCATGCATCGAGACCACGCATCCCCCTATTATTCGTGTAAAGGTCAACTAAAAAAGTGGTCGCCAACTTTTTTTTTTTTGCGCGCTCCCTGAGTATATGGCAAGATCTCCATCAAACTCTCACGGACGCCCTCTTCCCAACATTTTAAAATGTGACCAAAAAAGAGGAGAAACATAGATTCCACAACAAGCCAAACATAAAGCATGCAAATTCGTTTTGGTCACAATATTTTCCTATTATATATATATATATATATATATATATATATATATATATATATATATATATATATATATATTAGGGCTGTGCCGAATATTCGTTTCGTATTCGCTTCGGGGCCGAATAGTGGACCAAATAACTATTCGGTATTCGGCCGAATAGTCGCGGTCGGGACGAATACGAATAGTGGTTACCTCACACCCGTTTCTGAACTGGTGGGACATGAACATATCAAGATTTCCCACCTTGGTTCATACTGTCAAGCGTTACTTTGTGCACCACACACAAGCGTACCAAGTGAACCTCTGTTTAGCACAGCTGGAAATACCTTCAGTGAGACAAGAAGCTGCCTTATTGATGACAACATGCATGGAACGATTGTGTTTTTTTTTTAAAGCTAATGTTCTCTTGCTTGCTAAATACATCCAGTTTTAACATATGGCTGTGAGTCCTAGACAATCGGTAGGCAGGCCAAACAATTTCTTGAGGCCTTATAGATGTGGTTTTACAGAACAATGCTTAAAATACCCTGGACAGCCAGAAAAAAAGCAACCAAGAGGTTTTAAAAGAGGCGGGAGCCAAAGACAACTACTCACAGACATCAGAAGGAGACAGTTATCATGTTTCGGCTATGTTATAAAATGAGGGAAAATGGAACATGAGAAGATTCTTGACAGTCTTGTTGCATGGCATGGAGGTGTGTCAGCACACGAAATAATACATGCTGCAGGAGATCTCAGATAGTGGCAAGGCATAATCGCCAATGCCAGTCAGCAAAGCACCTGATGATGATGATTCACTATTCGTATTCGTATTCGGCCGAATAGTTGGTCCAGCTATTCGTATTCGGCCGAATAGTGAAAACCACAATTCAATACAGCCCTAATATATATATATATATATATATATATATATATATATATATATATATATATATATATATATATATATATATATATATATATTTATATATTTTATATATATATTCTCAGAATTTCTTGGACAAAGAAGAGGAAAAATATTGACATTTTAAAAGATCTGAACATCAAGGAAGATTGGCTAATAAAGAGCATCCTGTCTCGGAAGCTGAAATATTTTGGTCATATCAAGCGCCACGACGGATTTGATAAAATTAAAGCAGAAGGCATGGTACCAGGAAGGAGGGGCAGGGGCCGACCGACACGAAGATGGGCACAGGATATAAGTGACTCCCTGAGTATGAAAGTACGTGAGGTGAGAGAACTGGCGAGAGACCGAGTTTCTTTCAGGCAGATTGTGATGAGAGCGACGTTCTGCAAAGGACCTGTTACATGATGATTTACACACACACACACACACACACACACACACACACACACACACACACACACACACACACACATACATATATATCATTAGATGCGTGTAGTATTATATGAATTCTATTTTTAACGGTAGATGCTAAAACTTATAAAAACAGAAATATCCTTGTATTTTCTCTTAACGGATAGTTTAAAAAATACTTTTTTGTTAAATAATTAAACCAAAACAAAATGCAAGTGTAACGCATTACAACATGTACACATGCACTCTCTGTCAAAATTGCTTCCTGGGCCCTTGAAACCTTTTTGTTTTGGGGGGGGGGGGGAGAAAGGGTGCCGGGGAGAAAAAGGGGGGGGGGAATTGATGCCCCTTAAAACCCCCAATTCCCCTCCCCCGCCCTAGTAAACCGAGGCGATAAACGGATCATAGTTCTACAAGTCAACATAACAAAAATTCCTCCTACTTTACTAGTAGGACCATAAAATCAACTGAGACTGTCCGTTCTGCACATTGATATCTTACTAAAACAGCAGAATAAATAAACAGATGGGGGTTATCAAGTCTGTAAGCAGAACATTGCTATTTAAAAGCACAAACAGTCACCAAACTAGCATAATAATTTACTGTATTGACAGGAACTATTTCACTCCTAAAAGAAATCTTTGCTTCACTGAAAAGGATAAATTTCATTGGACAAGAAAAACATGTACTTAAATGAAAGATACATACTGATGGAATACCAGAACAACGAATTGTACTGAAAGTGCACATACCAGACACAATAACCATGGGCTGACAAAACATATATTTTTCAATAAGTAGGCAAGCACGTGTTATTTATATTTAGGGTGACTATACGTCCCGTTTTTATAGGAGCAGTCCCGTTTTTTTGGGCGTGTCCCAACCATCCCGTCGGTACCCACCCCCAGAAAAGGAAACCCTACCTATTGTCCCATTTAATATCAAATCTAGGAATACCTCGAAAACAGAACAAACACTTATCGTTACATCTTAGACATTGTTAGATTTTACAATTTTAGATACTTTTAATGCCTGAAATGTGTCAATGGAAACTTTCATTGTAACAATTTGTTCAGTGCAGTTAAAGAGAATGTTGTTTCATTTATATCTTGGCGACAATGGTCATGTTTTAAAACCATTGAGAAGCTAGC